CTCATCACACTACCTCAATTATGAATGAGTAATTTGGGTTTTCATGGCGGTGACTGGCAGAATTGTTTGCAGTAAATAAGGTTGACCTGTGTATTGTGTTGTTCAGGTGAAACAAGTAGCCATTTATTTAGAGAACTGTCTTGTTGCTTGTGCAAGGTTACTGTTGTGTATATTATAAACCAGTGTACTGTTTAGTAACACCTTAAGACTAGTGAAGGACACTTGCTAAGACAGTCATCACTACTGCTATGGCTCATACTCTATTAATATTTCTTGTATTAAGCTTTTTCATGTTACTTGCCATTTGTGCTGCACACATGAATGATTCATTAGAATTTGCAGCTTGGTTTGGAGGGGTGTGTCATTATATAATGGACTCAGATATAGTGGTCGACCGATATTGTTTTTTTTGACAGCCGATGCCGATATCTTGGAAAGCATGGTGGCCGATATAATTTTTTTAATTTTAATTAATATTTATGAAATTTGAAATCATTTGAAAATTTATTAAAAAATAAATGTGTTAAATAAACATACTTTAGATGACAAAGTATTTTCACATATAAATAAATATTTAATAAAAATATAATTAAAAAGGAAGTAAACACTGTAACCAACAGGGCACTCAGTATTCTGGGAAGTTTGTGTGCATTAATCATATTTTTTTCAAATAAAGCCAAGTTAACACTCATTTTACATACAGCACACAGTGAAAATTACATGAATATGACAGTCTCACAACTGGACCCGACTAAGGTTGCAAGGTTTTTGAAATTGGATGTTTATTAGACATTCAAAGATTTGTTCAAAGAAATGCGTATTTGCTGAATGCTGATGGCAAACAAGAAAGTATTATAATGTTTGCCTTTCTATTACTAATAATATAAAAGCAGTCGTTATAAGACTTTTTGTATACATTTTAATTCCTTTGTTTAACCGTTCTATCTGATTATTAGACAGACTTCTTTCTGTATTTAGACAGAACTGTAAACGACAACGGCGATCAAGAGGGAGAATGTGAGCGCTGTGTGCCCAGGCGCTGCCGTTCTCCGCGCCATCAAAATAAAAGACTGTCGCGCAGTCAAAATAAAAGTCCCACCTCGAACACATCGGCCAAACAGGAAAACTTATCAGCCGATGCCGATATTTAATAAATGCTAAATATCGGCCGATATATCGGCCTTGGCGATATATCGGTCGACCACTACTCACATATTACATGTACAGACTTTTGATTTTACACAGGACACTGCACTTATTCGCAATCACAAAAGTACATTAGTTGCATGTGCTTGAAAGCCTTGCCGGTTAAAGATTTCATTCGTGTGCTGTTCTGACATGCACTTTTTCTGAGCGTGTACACCTGAAGCGCGCACACACTAAAAGCCTGTCAAACAGCACCTGATTACTGCACTATGTTATCTTTCACGTCTGATTGCGCTAATGCTGTCAAAAACACACAAGGTTTACATATAAACGCAGCTGGTTATGTCTAAACTGAAAGTAAACAGAAAACGGATGTGTGCCTGTATATTAGATGCGTGCAGGTCATTAAAGGGGTAGTTCACTCAAAAATTAAAATTCTGTCATTATTTACTCACTCGCATGTTGTCCTAGGCATGGGCCGGTATTAGATTCTGACGGTATGATAACCTTAGATAAAAAAAAATTAAGAAACATATAGAACATTTTGGAACAGTAAACATGTCAGGCTAAATAATTAGAATAAATAATTAAATTTTTCTTAATTAAATGCAGTCACTTAAGTGAGCCTAAACCAGCAGCTCAACAATAATCAGAACATAAATTATTTTCTGTAAAAAAAAAAACCTATAAATGAAAAAAATGCAGTCACTTAAGTGAGCCTAAACCAGCAGCTCAACAATAATCAGAACATAAATTATTTTCTGTAAAAAAAAAAACCTATAAATGAAAAAAATGCAGTCACTTAAGTGAGCCTAAACCAGCAGCTCAACAATAATCAGAACATAAATTATTTTCTGTAAAAAAAAAAACCTATAAATGAAAAAAATGCAGTCACTTAAGTGAGCCTAAACCTGCAGCTCAATAATCAAAAATATAATCAAAACATAATTTCTGTAAAAAATAAAATAAAAAAAATAATAAAAAATGCATGCATAAACCTGCAGCTCAACAAGGTTTTTGGAGACATGCTCGCTTTCTACACATTCATCTTTCAGTCCAAGGTA